ATAGCTTCATAAATTTCCATTTGATTACTTCTCGTCGGGTTCTTGTTCGAAAGAAAGAAAATTTAGGTAAATTGTTTGTGTGCTTTGATTTCTGAAGAGTGAAAGAATTCATCTTGAATGGTCACACTAGAGACACCGATATTCGGCCTAGTTGCGAATGCAAGCTTGCATCTACTTAGGGTTGTGATTATGTGTTATATATCAGGTGGATTATGTGTTATACTTGTGTATACTGTAAGCGTATTAATAATCCAAAAGAGCGTATATTCAGAGCACATTTATGCCCTTTTATCTGCACTCGAGAGGAGTTAATGAGTTTCCCTTCTGGGTTTGTGTTGATGCTTGAAGGCGGCATAGGTATTGCTGCATTGGGTTGAGCTATTTTTGGGCCTGTCACGAACTCAAGTACCACTTACTAATGTAAATCTCAATGGTACTCAAGGGCTTTGGGAGTTATGGATTGTTTAAAGGCTGCTATTCATCATAAGGGTAAGTTTGTATTTATTCTAAATAGCTTGTTTAGGGATTCTTTGGTAGGGGCAGGATGAACAAAAAGATGGTTACAATACTACTTAATGTGCGGCAAAATATTAAGGTCTCGTTCCTTAGTGTAAAGTTTGTATGACCAGAGGATAGCTATCCATTAGGTATTGCTGGAATTGATTATGTTGGTAGCTTTTCTTTGGAAGTAAATCTAAACTTGCAATATATGCATTGTATTTTGGTCAATGAGTAATGCGTCCTTGCTACTTCTTCTGAAGACAGGCTTATATGTCACTGCAGGTTCTTTGTGCTGCCAGCTATTATTATTCTTTATCTGGTTATCCAGTTTCCAAGATGTCGTGGCAGTGCAGACAGTATTTGACCCAAGTCATGCTTCTTCCGTGGCAGAGCTAGGCCTAGCTAATCCACCTACTACTGGGTTCTTTAATCCCATTGAAATATCACCAGCTGTTATTCCAAACTACCCAAATCCTGCAGATGAACCTTCACAACCGATGTACCCGAATTTTCCGACAAGATATGAGCCTGTTTTAACCGGGAAGTGTCCTGTGAATTTTTCTACCATATCAAGTGTAATAGAAAAGACAGCTACTGATTGCTTTCAACCTTTGGCGGCAATATTAGGAAATGTAATGTGTTGCCCGCAGTTTAGTAGTTTAATCCGCATCTTCCAGGGTCTCTATAGCTTCAACTCTGATAAGTTGGTTCTGCAAAATTCAGTCGCGAATGATTGTTTTAAAGATATCATCAGTATCTTAGCCAGTAGGGGTGCCAACAGTTCAGTACCTACACTCTGCTCCATAAATTCGTCAAATCTTACTGGTGGGTCCTGTCCAGTGAAGGACATTAATGCCTTTGAGAAAACAGTAAATACAAGCAGTTTAGTGGAGGCTTGCACAACTGTTGACCCTCTCAAAGAGTGCTGCAGACCAATTTGCCAGCATGCAATAGCGGATGCTGCACTAAGGATCTCAGGAAAACAATTGATGATGAATGAGAATAAAAATTTAGTGGGTGGGCTTAATTATACTGATACTCTAAGTGATTGTAAAGGTGTGGTATTTTCATATCTTTCAAGGAAACTCTCGTCAGATGCTGCCAATACTGCATTTCGAATATTATCTGCCTGCAAAGTTAACAAAGGTACAGTTTTCAAGTATCTGTACAACTAATTATTTACACTTTAGAAATTGTGGTTTCAGCATCTAATCTATTGTTAAGTTGTTCGTCTTGCCTGAAGTATCGAAAAAAACAGTGAATGCAGTAAGCAGGTTCCTCTATTTATTGAAGTATGAATTTTTTAGTGTCAATATACAAAATGAAAAGACAATTTGTTTGAGCCGATAAGAGATGGTAAACTTTGAAGATCAGCATTTGTTACTTTTGTTTCATTTTATGAATCATATTGTTAATTTCATGTGTAGCCTTTCCTGGCCAATGAAAGACTTGCGTCTCTAGTATTACCATTTTTATTTGGTTCTTTCTGGAGGAAGTGTTTAAGTTATTTTTATTTGTACTATCTTTTAGGGTAACCTAATCATTGATTCTTCTTCACTAATATTTATGTAGCCTATTTAATCAATATGTTTATCTGCAGTACTTAGTGTTCACTCATGAATAATTTCTCTGGAGGTACATGTGCTGAATGGAATGCCATATTCTTATGGAAATTGTACAAGTTAGTTGTGTATAAAACCAACAGCGCACAACAGTTTTACAACCTTGTGTTGGGTAACATAAGGACAAGTGAAGCTGCATTAGGCGGCGTATTGATTCACTAATTACCAAATTCAGTCATGAAATGAGTGAAGCATCCAAATTATGTGTACCCACTTTTTCACTGGCTTGTGAACGGAAATATGATAAACCTTTCAGTTTTTTATCCGCTTTTGCCCTGTAGTTTTAAGTTTGAGATTTGGCTTGCTTATACTTGTAAATGAACCATATACGTTTTACTTGGTTTTAGTAGCTTGATGGTTACATCTTTACATGCTGTGTATTTTTGGACTTGTTATATACTGTACCATGAGGTCGCACTTGGTGCGATGGCAAGTGCCTTCGCCCATGAGCGGTAGGTCTCGGGTTCGAGACTTGGGAGCAGCCTCTCCATAAATGGGGGTAAGGCTAGCCGACATTCACCTCTCACAGACCTTGCGTAAAGCGGGAGCCTTGTGCACTGGGTACGACCTTTTTTATATACTGTACCATCTTTTCTCATGAAAATGAATTTCACTTGTGCAGTTTGCCCTTTGGAATTTAAGCAGCCTTCAGAAGTAGTTAAATCATGTCGCAATGTTGCTGCCCCGAGTCCTTCCTGCTGTAGCTCATTAAACACTTATATTTCGGGAATACAAAAGCAAATGTTAATTACAAATAGACAAGCTATAATCTGTGCTTCTGTGTTTGGGTCCATGTTGAGAAAAGGCGGGGTGATGGAAAATGTTTATGAGCTTTGTGATATTGACTTGAAAGACTTTAGCATTCAAGGTGCTCATCCTGCCACGCCATTCTTTTAATTATTTTTCCTCTTTTCTTTCATTATATCTGATCTTTTACCTTTTTTTTCCCTGGATCCCTGGTGGGCACTGCAACAGAATACGTGCAGCAAGGTATGACATTTTCAATCTTTCTCCTGTTTCTTTTATTGATTGATTATATTCTTCTGAAGGTTTGATATCCAATGTCATGTTTAGGAGTGGGAATATTCTTTGTACTGTGTTGTGGGTGCTTTATAAAATGCCGGTTGCAATGCTATTAGTGTAACCGAAATTGATGTCACTTAGATCAAATGCAGGGTGTTTTAGCAATACGTATCCTAAATGTACATTACCTAGGTGTTCTAGAGTGTAATGTTGGATTCATGATACCTCATATGTACTTGGTGGCGGCGATCAAGTAATTCCCGAATCATTATTTTTATAAGATTGGTACTTTCAATTTTGCTCAAATGCAGGGTGTTTACTTCGAAGCTTACCTGCGGATGCGATAATTGACAATACAACAGGTTTCAGCTTTTCATGTGATTTGAGTGACAACACTGCAGCGCCATGGCCTTCATCTTCCTCAGATTCATCGTTGTCCTTTTGTGCACCTGGTAATTGATCAGGCAAAGAATAACTTTTGTTGCCCTTTTCCCTCAAAAAATCTATATACTATGCGACAAATAATACTGGGATTCTATAAATTGCATATTTTCCTTTATGTGCAAGTCCATTACCTCATGGCTACTATGCTTTGCAGAGATGTCATTGCCTGCACTACCAACATCGGAGACTTTTAAAAATCCTGGTATGTGTCGCTGCATTATCCAATTTCCTCTGTGCATATGTGAATTTCCTTGGTTCTTTTGTTTTAGTGTGCTTAACAAAGTCATGAAGCATGGACAAACATAATGACATTGGAAAATAAAAAAAAATGAAAGCTGCCCTCTTTAGTGAAGCTGGCACAATAGCTAATCATACGTTCGGGGTGTTATTCAAATGAAAAAAAATGTCAACCAAACGAAGGAAAATCAATTCCATTTTCGGAAGAAGCATTTTGTGTTGTGAAAGTGTTAAGCATGAGCGCTTGCTTCTACCCATTTGGTAGTTCTGGGATTTGCATTTCTTCGTTGCCCTTTCTTTAGACGTTCTCACGCAGGGAAAATGTCTAACACTGTAAAACAATGCGTTGATGATGCAGGCTGTCGTGGTGGTGAGCTGGAATTTATGGTACCCGTTTTTTCATTTTTTGTTTTGGGTACTCTGTTGTACTGAGGAGATAGATATATATGGGCTGAGGGTTGGGGTGGTTTGAATTTTAGGGACGTTTGGAGATTTATGTGTGGATTTTTCTTGTATATTTTGAGTAGTAGTTTCCATGTATAGCAGTTCTCTCTCTATTCCTGGCAATTATGATACAATGATCCGGTTAAATTATGTTACATTGACCCGATTGGGTTCAGAAAAAGCAGATTTTTAGGTTTACCACAAAGTTGGCAAGTTACAATGTTTTTATTTATTTAATTTTTTTTAAAGGGGACAACTAGTGGCAAGCTACGGTTATCCATCATTTCCGGGAGCCAGGAAGTTTCACAGAGGCATTTCAGCCTTTCTCTGGCCACAAGTCTGGCTAACAGTGGGTTTCAAATCCGAAACCTCTTGTTTTTAGTTCGAAGGAACCTAAAAAAGCATTAACCATCCTCGTTCCTCACTCACTTTGGTTAAATCAAGAACCCAAAAAGTACCAAAGACCCTCCATCTGATGAAGGAAGAACTTCGTACCCTAAAAGACAGTGCAAGGCATCAAGCAGCCTTGGCATCAACCTGCTCCGGCGGCGACGTTAGACAAACAAGCACCGGCGAGTCCGGAGACCCTTTTGTTTGCACAATTAAATATAAATTAACAAAAACGAGACGAGATTGGATACGATACTATGGTCTGGATCAAAATATCTCAGCATCATGTTTGTTCATTGCCTATCAAAAAGTCAATATTTTCTAGGAAACGCAAAGCAATCGCTGAACCTCAAATGTAAAAATATTAGGCAAATCAAAAACCGAAAACATAAGAGTACTAGTTATTTCCGTCCAAAAACTAGTACGAGTTCTTAATTACATTAAATGGACTACCTGATCAAAGTGAAACATAAACTAGCATGCATAGAAACAAATCCTAGAGGAAAGATTTTCTGACCCTATCTATGATAAAATCATTCTTCAAGCGGATTCAGGACGTGACCAATGAACATAACAGTCCCAGTCGTTTCCTCTCTGATCAACAGCAGGAATGGGTGATCAGCCACGAAGTCTATCTCTTCAATCCGTTCAACCGGTCCAGCAGAACACATAAGTGTGTAATAAACAGAAGCAGCTGCAGCTTTTGTGCCATCTTCATCAACTTCAATGAAGGATTTATGAATCATTTTGGCATTATCTATACCTGATTCCAACATCTCTGTCAAATCACCTTCACCATTGAAAGGCAACACCAGTCCTAAATCCATGAGAATTTCAGAAGCTGTAAAGCCGGAGGTAATCTTAAACCTTGGGATTTTGAATTCGCCAACTGGGACTCTTCTTCTGGGGCGATGGCGATCTAAGAAACCAGGCTCGGAACAAACTCGCTCGACCAAAGCTGGGAGACCATATTTTTCATCTGGCAGCAACAAGTACATGGAAAACTGCCGCTCCTTGTCTTCACCTTGTGAATAAGGAAGCTTCAAGACTTTGAAGCCGTCAAAGGCTCTAACAAAATGTTCTCCGGAGCTTCTCATGAACGGCGCCTTAACGGAAGTACCGTTGAGAAGGTGGAAGTTGTCCGTTATTGTTCTCGATGCATCGAACTTTCTGCTCCGAAGGCCTTTGAAGTATAAAGCATTTGACAATATAAGAGTGGTGGTGTGGTCAATTAACCCAGGAGAAAGAGCCTCAGTGATAAGGCCTTTCGTCGCCTTCTCGGCCCATAAATTCACTTCACGTCTCACTTCCTCAGGGTTCACAAAACTAACATGTTTTATAGCTGCCTTGTAAGCAGTGTCCACAACCTCTTTGAAGGAAGGTATGATGGGGATAGCATCCTTAACCCAAAGGCCATTGGCAAAACTTAGGCAGGGACCGCCTTTGGTAGAACCGTCTGTGAAGATGAGAGGGACAAGATGGGAGGCAAGGGAGTTGAGTTGGTCCGTGGACTTGGACCTGAGGAAAGCGAGCAACTGCTCCCTTGTGGGACCCTTTGACCCGGCCGTTAACAGCCACAGCACAACCTGAATGGACAGCGGGGAGAACACCATGTTCTCCTCTTTGCCTTCAGTCGTGAGCAGCTGCTTAGTAATTTCGAGTGAGACATCGTTTACGTTGCTGATGGTTTCTTTGGTCGACTGAGATACAAACAAACAAGAAACCCCAGTTACATAGGAAAATAATTAAACAACATAGATTAAACCCTTGATTTCAACATTTCAAAAGTTAGGTTTCAAAATCTCGAAGAGCTACAGAGCTACTTGTGCAAAATTAAGAACATCATTAACTAAAATTAAAATGGCTAGAGGGGAGCCAAAAATTAAGACAGAATTTAGAAAATTCAAAATCAAAACGAAAAGTGAAAGCTAGGGTTAGGGAAGTGCACTGAACAATCAATAACAAAAGGGAAAACCATACTTGAATATCGCCACCGGGGAGAGCGAAAGGGAGAGGAGCAACGGGAGCCATCTGAGAGGAGCGACGGAAGGGCGTTGGCTCTTGATGCGTAGAAAATGGACGCCGAAGTGCATAGGCGCCAGCAGGCCGAAGCGACAATGTCCTCTGCTGTTGCTGCTGAGTTTGAAACGATAATATGGAGCCGAATCGAAAAGCCCGGGTCCAGGGAGTGAAGAAGGCTGGGGTCGACAATGGCTTCCCAAAGACGGGGGTCGACGACTCCGTTCTGAAGAGGAACGAAGATGTTCTGGAGAGGGACGAGGACGTTCTGAAGAGGGACGACGAAGATTGAGATCCGAACATTGTCGCTGGCTGCAGGTGCTCTATATGTTTCGCTGTTGAATGTAGAGAGAGTGGCGTAGTTCAGCTCTTCGAGGTTTGCCGCGATGAAATTGGCGTAAAACCAATTGGCAAGGAATAGTCCAAGGTCATATAAACATACGCCCCGCACGTTTTTCAAGCCTACACAACAACTGGGTGACGTGGAGCCCCTGCATGTGTTTCAAGCCTACACAACCACTGGGTGACGTGGAGCCCCTGCATGTGTTTCAAGCCTACACAACCACTGGGTGACGTGGAGCCCCTGCATGTGTGGCGGATTTTCAAGCCTACAGATAGACAACAACTGGGTGACGTGGAGCGCGTGTGGCCGTTCAGCTTCACATGAAAACAACCCGCTCTAATACCATGATGAAATTGGGCTTCCATCATAAAAACAATTAGCAATATGGGAAGTAACCCAAAACCATATAAACACATAGCAAACCTTATCCCTTATCGATGGGAACAACTCTCAACAGGCCAGCCACACTAGGGTTTTGAAGTAGCAAATTTCTGATCAAGAGAGAGATCTTAGGCTTTCTTACTTGTAGGGCAAGTAAGTCCGTTATGTTTATTATAAATAAAGTCAAAATGTAGGTGAAAAATGAGAGATTTTTCAATGTGACCGGTACACAGGGTGGTACATCACGTGTTACTATACAAATTGTGAGATATGTATGTTAAAAAGTTAATAACTTAAAAAATAAAATTTCCTACCACTTATATAAAAATACATGATATACCATCCATGTTCCGGCCATAATGAAAATATTCTTGTGAAGAAGATAGAATTTTCGTACAACTATCTTTACTCTCTTTCCTGCCCCACCCTCTCTCTACGTTAGCAACTACATGTGAGCTAAGGAACTAAAGTTTAAAGTTTATTCTACTACAAACTCGTTTACAACCTTCATCATCCTAATCCAAGTAACTGCTAAACACCCCGATATATTAATAACAATCTATGTTAGTGTATAATAGCTTAAAAAATAAAATATTTGTGCAGGTTGGAGAAACATAAAAGGGAGGCAGGGTTCATATGTGAAAGCGAAACCACTAGTGAAATTTTATCAATGAATGCAATTGATATTGCAACCGAATATTAGTGTCATATTAACGACTTGAACTTCGTACACGGAGCTGTGCATGACTCAGACTTGAACAACTTCATCGATGATATTGCAACCGAATATCAATGTCATGTTAACAACGAATATTTCATCGGTATTTGATATGGCGTCAACATTTAGTACCAACGCGTTAATATATACATACATATAACGTAGTTAATATAACATTGATATTTAGTTGCAATGTCATCATTCATGTCGTTTTGTGAGTTAAATCCGCATCATACACAGCCCATGCGCACAGAGAAAAGCTCTTAGACTCGACACTCAAATTTGAGTTTGAACATTTGAATCATTTGCATTGGACCCGACACAAATGCAGAACCAGTATGAAAGATTATCAAGAATTGTAAGGGAAGAAAATTTCCGCACACCCCTTTTGTCCTCCTTCGCTTCTTTATATCTGTTGATTCTTCTTTGATTGACTCAATCCTGAGGCTAGAGGAACAAAAAGAAGTTGATGCAAGATGAGTTTTTTGACAACTTAAGAAAGTTGAGTTTGAACAACCATGGGATTGATACTCAGCACGCTTACGAGACCAACTTTGAAGCTGGTTTTTCTGAGATGAGACGAGGAATAAAAATATAAAGAACGAGATATAATGGCATTTGAATTCAGTCCCATCTTGGATGAATGGCTAACATCTTACATGTGCACAAGCTCTACTCAACTCATCTCTCTCAATTCAAGTTCTGCATCATAGAAACAAAAAGCTACTATAAAACAATCAGTAGATATATCACAGAAACAGAAGACTGGCTGCCGGCGGCTGGGGAAGAAAATACAAGAAGATTGCGCTTGCGCAGAATGCAGATGTGAATTGCAGTCAAGACATTTTTAACTAGCCTTCGTTCTTTACATTGAGGGTATCTAGTACCACAGCACACCTCTTGCCTCTCACTGCTCTGAAAACATGAATTTGAATTACGCTTTGCTTAACAAACTCAAAAATGACAGTGTCCCCAACTGAAATCTGGTTTGCGTTACAAAATCCTGCCCAACCTGTTGTCAATTCCATGCGATGGAAAGATGACTTGGGACGAAGTATAACTTTAGCACACCATGTTCTTCCGGATTCATTTCGAAGCATTACAGTGCCCATGCTCATAAGACCTTCAGATATGGCTAGTTTCTTTGGAATCACCTGAAATTTTAAAATATCAAAGGAGAGTCCATTTGTCTTAAACATAGAAACAGATTCGTTAACCTTGTACTGAAGTCTAATACTCATAATGTAGTGCACTCACTAACAAGTGGTGGAACTTTCAAGGAAGCTTTCTTGAAAATATTTTTAGAAAAGTAATCTATTAATCTTTTCCAAAACAATAAGAAAATGTTTTCACAAAACAAAAAATGGCTTAAGAATCAGTGACAGAGTACTCACCAGACAATATTCTTGATGCTTCTTCAGAGTTTCCATGAAACATGGATTCTCCGATTTGAATGTGAAGCATGTGCTTGAGGTTTCTTTTACATAACCAGTTGTAGGTCTCTTTCCAGACATGGCATTCCCTACACAGCACCAAATTGAAACAAGATAATGAGAAGGGGCAAGGAAAGCCGTTACAGAAAATACACATAAAAATCTGCAACTTACCACTTCTTGTGTTAGCAATAGTTGCTTTGTTTTCACAGTCTGTATCGTAGTTTTCAGCTTCAGATTCGACAATTTCCTCTTTTACTCTAGCTTGATTTCCTTTATAATTTTCCAAGGAAACTGGATTGCTACTCTTCCCGTTGGCTTCCTCTACATCCTTCTCACAGGCACTTTTATCGTATATTTTGACTTTAAATTTGGATTCACCATAGTAATAAAAAACCAGAAAATCCCCCACTTGTAAAAGATGATCCTTCACAAAATCCTGCCAACCCGCCGCATAGAAGAACAAGCCATTCTCTCTCTCTTCCAGTTCCACAATCCACCGTTTTCCACTAGGGCCCTTAAGAGCGCATTTGCCGAGTGATAGTCCACTTAAGTTTTTGAGAAACGCATGCGGTATACGCTGCAAAATTTGACAGCTTCTTAGAAGACCATACTATAAATGCATAAAACTAAGCAAAGCTTAGCATCAGTAATAAACAAAATTCAAACTGGATAACTTCAATATTTAATACCATTCATTGTTAACCTTCCAAGTAATTCTACCATCGTCTATTGACTAATCCTGAGCAGAGAGGGTGAGATAATGTAGAGCAAAATTTTCTTGTTCTATCTTCCCATGACTTCTTCACCCATAATTTGGCACACAATCCCTTAGTTAGTCTACCAAACACAGAATTGTATCATTGTTATCCTCTACAATTCTGTACAATCCAATGCAGTCCAATCCTAATCCGATCAAATCGCAATCACCAATAATCTCCTTAGAGAAAGAAGTCCACACAACTCCCAGGATATCATGGATTTGCAAGTGTACAAAGGACATAAAATTTAGTGTGTATGGAAGAAAATGGTGTGTGTAAATCAGTAGCCAAAAGCTATTGACGTCATCATTCTCGGTTGATAAAGCCCTGAGGATCAGTTTTCACTGTTCTCTCAGTTTCTGAGTAAGCAAACAAGTTTTCAAACGTGAATTTCTTTATAATATATCGTCACAAGTAGTAAAATATAAACAAAAGTAGATCCAAACATGAAACCATGAAAAGGGTATTTTACTATTTTTAACATTCACTCAAATTCCTGATTAATCTAGAAAACGAACCCAAAAACAAGAAAAGAAAAGTTGCAAGCACGACTGTGAAAAGTTTGATCTTGACAAGTTTATAAGAAAGAAGGCAAAGATTTTACCAGATGCTTAGAGAAGTCACCAAGTAGGACCTTGAAAAACGATTGTTTCTTCCGAGGACCCTTCCGTGCCATTGGAACCCTTCTGTTCTACAATGCTCTGCATCGATTTTCAAAGTTGAAAGCTTTCCAGGAATACATGGCTGCTCCGTGTAGCTACAGTTTTTCTTTTCCTTTGTCCCCTTGTTTTTCTTACGGCATATCTAACCAGTTACGGGTTTCGACTTCAACTCTAGCCTTGTTAGTGTAGATTATCACTTTTACTTCAAAAAAAAGAAACGTAAAACTATTTAGGTAGGTTTAAAACATGAGGTAGGATTCTCTTCCTTCCTAATCTCTCCCCTTCTATCTCCTTATAGTTAAATGATTGCGATTACGCCACATCTACATCTTGTTTTGAATTTTTTATATAGAGAATAAGATAAAAAGAAGAGTGTGTGAGGAGAGGATGGAAGAGAATGGTAATAAGAGGAGAAAGAATCATACTCCTTAAAACATATATATGCTTAATAAATTCCATTCACTCACCTTTTACCAAAAGAAAATTAATGCAATTGAATTGAATGGTCAAATCATCATCTGACACGACTATTTTTCAATTTTTGTTGAACTTATTTATCGTTAACGTTATTATCTACAAAAATGTTCTTTTGAAGGTAAATTGAGGCCGACAATAGTGGTAGAAAAAATTGAGTCATTGCATGTCAATGTGGGTTTGAATTCTGTCGGTGATTAATCTAACATATAATTTAACAAAATCTATTGTTTGATAAAAAAAAAAGAAAAAAAAAAGGGTAAATTGAGGCCGAAGCCCAAACAAGAAAAACTACAAACTAGTTACTAAGTAGCCAAAAGGCAATTGCCGCCCAATAACATCGTCTAGATTCCAAAAGAATGCAAAATAGTATTCGCACGACTTTAACCCTTTTGGATTTAAAGAAGAATTAAATGACACAAATAATCAGGGAGTGTTTAAAAAAGAGTGCGAAAATTATTTCTTAAAATTCATTTACAAGGGAAGGGCTAGCATAACTAGCCGCAAGAATAAGTACCGCACTCGCAAAGGAGATCACCGGCACACCCAAGAAATAAAACACCACTAGTAATGTGAAATTCAGTCTTCGGATTTCACTGTTTTAATTTTATATTTCGTTTTGTGTGTTAATTTAGAGAGGTTGGCATATTGTTTGCAGCTTTGTATTTATAGTGCTATTTGCTTGTCGGCCATGCTGAAAGATTATTTGCCGCGGCACCAAAGCAATCAAAAATAATATTCCTCATAATATTATCTTTAACAACTTCATAGATTGCCATCCTCTCGAACTTGTTTGTGAAATCAAGGCCACATACAATCCCAACTTTATCTCTGATCATCCCGTTGTTATCACTAAACCAATAGCACATTAGGGACATGCACGGCATTAATCAAACACCACTCATATTGCTAATTTCTTCAAATTGGACTCTTAATTGCATGGAATTAGTCTCTAAATACAAGTCTCCATGGCCTCACGCTGCATGCAAATGCAATCCCATTCTTTTGACCAATAACCCCATCTTTAATATCTTTGTGCTGATCTCCTACTCCAAGCTGTTCCAATCTACGAGTCCACTGCTAGTTAACCCAAGTTAACTTGAACTCTATTATTGCTTCCAGATTTGAGATAATTTGAATCTCATTTATCTTGCATAAGAAAACGTTGAGACAATTCATTATTAAAAGATAATTATTATGATTAAAAACCATAATATTATCCCCTAACAACAACAACATTATTTTAACTTTCTCATCCGATGTTGTGGAGCTATGCTGACTCAATAACCTTAATTGCACGGGTGAATGTTGTAATTTTGGGTCCAAACAACTTTGCTCCGAACCTTGCCCGCAAAGGGTCTCTAGAGCTCCACTTAACCCCACCCATACCAAAATTTCAAGCAATTAGAATACTAAAAGTGAAATAATAATCACATTTTTCTCCCTCTACATACTCATGTTTAATTTTATTTTCGCTGTTTAACATTTTCCCAAATTTGAGTTTTTCCAAAATTTGTTGTTTATATCCACTCTTTTTCTATAATTCTTTAGTTAAATAGGCTTACAACAAAAAAAAATTCGTTATTGTTGAATTTTCAAAACTTGATTAGTTAGCATTTCAAAAGAGAGTATTATTATATATCATATGATGGTGAAACAGTGAAACAGTGAAAGTAATATAATTAAAGAAAATTTGAAAGGAAGAGATATATTTTCCCCAACCCACACTAACTGCAAGTCTGCAACTAGAATTGTACAAAGTGGAATAATTGGAATCTAAATACCAACACATTCACATTCACATTCACAATCATTGGTGTTACCTAGTTATTTTAGCTTACCATATATCAACACTAACACATTTATGTATTAGTTATTTATCATCTAAATGATGTAGAATAAATGGCCGAGTGGATTGAAAAGGAGATGGACCGACGGAAATCGAAGGGACGCATTAGAAATTTGCAATTTTGACATCCGAGCTCCGATTTGGGTCATGATACTTTTTGGAAAAGATTACATTCAGGATTCCAGAATCAAATTGGGCAACATTGCTTGTATCAAAAACGGCAATTGAAGACCTGTGAAAAAAAGCTAAGATATCAGATAAAAATCTTCGTTGGCCTTTCCTTAATTAGAGACAGAAGAGTGGCTGGGGTAATTAAATTAAATAACATCATCCTTTAACCAAAATAGATAAACTAATAGTAATACTGCAGTCACAACATTTTTACAAGAACACTACTTTGGCTACAAGAACACAACATTTTTACAAAAGGATGGCAAATTTGTGACGTGAAACTCTGGGATCGACTAGCTTTCAGCTTTAACATTAGGGTCAGCAAGCACCACACGACACTTATTGCCTCTCACTGCTCCTTTTTTGAAAATATGAACACGCATCAAACCTTGCTTAACAAACTAAAAAATCATGGTGTCCCCGGGTGAAATTCGGTTCGCTTTCACGCAATCTGTCCAACCTGTTGCAATGTCCAAATGATCAGTAGAACTAGGCCTTCTGATTCTGAGTTGAATAAGCCATGAACGCCCAGCTGGATCTTGAATCGTTACAGTATTCTTATACATAAGGCCTTCAGCTACCGCTAGTTGCTTCGGGATCCTCTGCAATGTGGAACATCATGGATAACTTCGCTTGAAACTTGACCGCGAAACTAAAAAGAAAAACATATATGCCTGCTAGAAGAGTTTTCATGTAAACGATTCAATATCTTTGTACTCAATCCTAAAACTTATAATACAGTCCAACCCTAAAAAGAAGTCGAATTTTGAAGAAAAGTTTCTTGAAATGTTTCTCCAATTAACTGCCACACTGCAGCCACTGTAGTATTAAAGGGTATACCAAAGATATCTATCACTATTTTTCAATCGCAACGGTAAAACTTGTTCAGAAAACAAATTGAATTAGGAAATGAGTGACAAAGTACTCACCACGCATTGTAGTAAATGTTTCTTGTTTGAAAATGCTAGAAAACATTGATTCTCCGATTTCAACAAGACAGATCCAGTTGATGTATCTTCTACATAATAACGTCTTTTCCTAGAAATGAGATACTTGCCTACAGAATCCGAAACACGAATTAAGGAGTGAAAACAAGGTAAGATATCAGACACAAATCTTCGCCAAATGCAGAGAACTAAAACAGAGCTTAACTTACTACTTCTGCTAGTCGTTCTGATTTTGCGCTCTTTGTTATAGTTTCCAGTGGCAACATCAACATTTTCATCTTTTACTCTAGCTTGATTTACTATATTCATCTTGGCTGCTTCGACATCTTTCTCGCACGCACTTCTATCATAGATTTTGACATTAAACTTTGTTTCACCATCATAGTCAAAAACCAAAAGATCCCCAGCTTCTAAATGATGGTCCTTCACAAAACCCTGCCAACCATTGCGGAAGAATATGCCATTCTCCCTGTCTTCGAATTCCACAGTTCTTCGTATTCCGGTAGGGCCTTTAAGGTCACATTTGCTAAGTGATCGTCTATTGAAGTTCTTCCTAACAAACGTAGGTGGTATACGCTACAAATTTGAATAACCAATGCACTTGAGATCACATTCACAAATATTGTTTGTAATTTGAGAGATCAAACATGAAAAATTATAGCAAACAGAATTCGAATTGTATAACATGGTAATTAATCTAAAGCAAAAGTAGTCAAGCATTTGGAAATTATTTAACTAAATCTTTGTGAACTTGACAGATAAAATGGTTCTACAGTTGATGAATAATAACCATTGTTGCTAACATTCAGAGTAATATTGATAAAAACAAAATTTGGGGATCCATAATATTTGATTAAACAATTTTCACAAAGATTACAAAGAAGAAAAAACCCTAAACTCAGGCATGAACCACGAAATGGATATCAATTTTCAGCAGAAATTTAATCTAACACATGCAGAAAAGTGAAAAGGAATCCACAAAATAAAATATAAAAAAAGCACGAACAAATTTGTCCATGGTGGTTATCCAAATGAACCCACAAAGGTGAAAAATAAAAAACACAAACAAAAAATTGAGATGTTGAAAAGTGAGGAGGAAGGGAGGATGGATTTTACCAGACCCTGAGAGAAGTCACCAAGGAGGATCTTGAAAAATGATGGTTTCTTTGGCTTCCTAGCCATTTGAACCAAGTGTGAGTGTCGTTAAGAATTCGAGAGAGTACCAACCGGCTGCTTAATTTTACTGAAAGAAGAAAGAAGATTTCAAAAGTTTCGACAAACCATTTATTCTTAGGAAACTTGAAAACTTTGAGTTTTAATGATAAGGACAAAATAAAGAGTAAAGTCAATAGTATCAGGATTGACTTTTTAGTGTAAAATGTGGTTTTTCGTTAAAGTGAACAGTACTGGGTGCTTTTCGTTAAAGTTCTCTTTATTCTTTTATGATTCTTAATTAAAGTGAGAGAGAATCAGAGTCATAATTTTAAACCTGCAGCTATTACTCAGTTTTTCTACTTAGATGCATTTTTTTAGGCTTGTTATATTAACACATCACATATTGTTGAATATACCCCACATACTTAACACACCCCACATATGTTTTTTCAATTAAAATTTATCTTATTGCACCCCACGTACTTTCCCATAATACCCTCACACCCCCAGACTCCCAACATACACCTTACATCTTCTATATACACTCCACATTTTTTACATACACTCCACTCTCTTCATAATGGTTTCTTTCTTATTATGCTATTTGATACAAAATCATTCATGTCATGAAGGATTTGCTTAACTTTTTTCCCCTAAATTATTTTTTGGCAACAAGGATTTGCCCAACTTTTTTCTAACCATTGAACATTGATCAGTGAAGGTGTGTGTCCAAAAATGAGAATACATTTTAACCTTCATCCACCTGTGACGGTACATTTTGAACACGGTTTAAGCCATAAGTTAAGGCAGCCTCCAGGTGAATCCCAGAAATGACAGTACATTTCAACCTTCATCCACCTGTGACTGTACATTTTGAACACGGTTTAGGCCAAAAGTTCAGGGAGGCCCTCGGAATTGGGATTAACTTCTCAATGTTTGAGGATACAGAGTTACTAAAAGTAGCTGACTTGGATTTCTGTCTTATAACTGTTAAGGCCGAGGCATCCCATCCCGCCCATGACTTGGATATCTATCCTATATTCACAAAACTAATCTACTTGAATCAACTTGAGTGTAATTTATGGTGGATTTTCGCTTAACTGATTTTTAGTTGGACTTCTTTTCTTGCTGCAATGCATGTGTGTGACAAGCTCTAGATATTCCAAACAAACCACACGCCCTATTTGCCGACAACCAGTTGAGAGACGTTTGACGATTAAGGTCAACATTGGCCCTAATGAATCAGTAATCAGTGGATGTGCTCTACAAAGGAAGGTGAAAGTGCTTTTGAGAAAAAGAGTTGAAGTCTTGAAGAGGATAAATAATTTTGAGACAAAAACGTTAAAACTTATTTGAGGTGTATTTAGAATTTTTTTTTTCTTTTCTAAACCCTATAAGGTTGAACTTGTCATTACATATTAGATGTATAAGTCATTTAATATTACATTTTTAATATGGGATGTATTCAATACTATGTGGGGTGTTAATAAAAAAAGCTTTTTTTTATTTAAAAAACGAGAGACTTTTCAAAATAATTGGTATACAAAAATATATGTTATACTTAAAAAATTTTATTTACACTAATATAATAACATATGATTTAACAACTCGTGTTTTAAAGTAATCTCCAACTAGTCAAGTCGCTTCTGTCTTTTTGTTTGTTTGTTTGCTTCTTCAGACTTCTGCCATGTGTTCAACATGCACTTTCAACACATATTCTCTCTAATATATATATATATATATATATATATATATATATATATATATATATATATATATATTTTAAACAAATGATAGTATATATAAAAAGTAGAGGAATAGACTAAGTTATACAACAAACTTGCCATAATAATAATAGACTAAGCCTTTAATTGATGTTTCTTAAGGTATCGTTTGGTATGCAGATGAGACAAGAAGGGATAAGATGGGACGGAACGGAGATGGAGCAAAGATGCCCTCAGATGGAAACAAAGAGGAAGAAGAAGAATACGGAGATGTTATAATTTTGTGTTCCACGAATGTGAAACGAGTCGTTCCAGAGGATGAGGCGGAACGAAAATTCATCCAAAATTCGTCCGGTGGAACAATGTGTTCCACCCGTTTTAGGTGCACCAAACATGGAACGGAACGCCTTATCCCACTCCGTTCTATCTCATCTCACGTATCAAACGGTATCTAAAAAAAGTTAAGTCAAATGTAATTTTTGTATCTTCTAATGTGGGGTCCTACTTTTGCCTCTAGAGCTATATCTAAAATCAAATATAACTTTGCATATTACTCCAATTTTTCCGCTGCATTTAAAAATGATTGAGTTGTACTAGAGAAAGTCTTCCCAAACTGAAAAAATAGACTGCCAAGCCACCAGCTAGTTTGCTTGTTTTTTTTTAAATGTCAAATATAACTCGCTACTAAAATCTCCTTTGCCATATTATCTTGAAGGGATATTATACGCGTACTCTTGTAGTCATTGCTATAAAGAATAAGACATTCATTGAAGATGCAAAAGTGCTCGGACATGGATTGTCTACCCTCCCATTTTCGATGTTTTTCCGTACCCTTTTGTTTTGTGTGGTCACGGTTAAGCTACGTTAACATTTTATATTGTTTTTTTATTGAGATAATAAGACAAAAATAAATAGTAATATAAAATGTTTACGTGGCTTAATTGTGATCATACAAACAAGAGGGCACAGGAAGTGGGAGGGCAGACAATCCTTGTCCCAAGTGCTCAGCAAATCAGATCCTTTTTATTAATCTTCATTAAATAGTACGTGAATTTCTCTTATTGAAGTCACTTACCTACCTGCTATGGGAAATTGATTGCCAGAACAACCAGTTAATGGAAACATGCATGCATCTTCTCCAGCATCCGGAGACTATTTTTCTCTGCAATATATAAGTTCCTCAAAACTCCATAAACTAGTCTAAAAAGGTTGCCATTGCGGTCTATGTTGTTAACTAGTTTTGTCTGACCATTTAGACCAAAACTGCATCTGCGTTACGAGGCAAATCCAGTTGAGTCCATTTTGTGCGCAGCGTAACCACCAACAGTAGGACGGTTTGGCAAGAGAGACCGCAGATTAAACCGATCCACAACCCCTGCACCAGAAGAAATCAAGCACAAAATGTGAACTGAGTGAGATACATAAACAAAAAAAAATCAACTACGAGCTAGCTGCTTGTTCCACTTCTGTGTTCAGCTAAAGAATTAATAATGTTAGTACTCAGTGTGCGGATGCCCGGACTTTTTTATCACAGGTCCGAGTCAAACAGCAGTGATTCGAAACACTTATTTTTACACTATTTTGGAAACCCAAGGTTCAATCCTATGGGGGTGTAAAATTAAGCTACAAGGTTAATGGTCTCACCTTAGCATATAGTTTCAACTTGAATGCAAGAACACCTGCAATTGTCATGCCAACCAAATAGAATGTTCCCAAGTTTACATACACAGCCAGGTGCTGCCACCCACATCCTCTGGCCACACCTGAAATACCGAGAATAAGTTCAAATGCAAAGTAGCAGATGGACAACCGCTAACAGAAGTGGATGATGATTCGAACCTGATAAGACGCCTTGGACAGAATCGGCAAGTATAGAAATTAAAAGCAACGGTGTCATGGAAGCAAATAGTTTTATTATTACGCTGCTGTCGCTGAAGGCGCCGGCCCATAAATTGTGACCAAATGCCAGAGCCAGATCAACAATGAGCGCGAGAAGTATAGAGAGCTTAAGGGTCACAGCCATTGCATTCTTGGCCTTCTCAGGATTGCCTGCTCCCAATTCATTTGACACCCTTGTGCTACAAACAAGAAAAAAGTACTATTTGATTCAATGTGTGGAACAGAATGCAGAACCGAAAAACTCGAAGTGATTAGTTAAACTTGGTATTTATTGTTCTACCAACCTTGCAGCAGCACTGAGGCCATATGTAATCATGTATGCAATTGATTCTGTATTCACACTGAAGATATGATAAGATTAGGAAAAATTTACTTGAGTCGAGCGAAAAATTATAAGTTTAGAGCTAGCTGAATGCTTACCAGATTGCAATCAGGGAAGTGTTTTGTTCAGCTTTTGGCATTACTCCTGCCATGAACACCAGAATCTCAAAGGCCCAATACTCCAAACTGGAAAGACGAAAAAAATGAAGACATGAATACTTACAGATTCTATCTCACATACTCTGAAAAGGAGTAAAGAAAAATCGAAAACACTTACCATACCATTGCTGCAGAGGGTAGGGCAAGTTTCAAGTTGGGGAGGACATAATGAAATGATTCTAATGTAAACCCTTCCCACGTATGCTCAAACTTCTTTGCGCACAAAACGTACGTGGCCAACATTAGCATTGATATCCATATTGAAATCGAAGCTGCCACCGGAGCTCCCACGTAACCAAGACCTGTCCAATGTACAAGGCCATACGCAATGCCAACATGAAGAACCACTGGGATCACCGAGAAGTAGACCAATGGAATGACAACGGATTGCGTCTGAAGAAATCTCAAAATATTGTGCAGGAAGCCATATGCAAACAACCCCGGAATCAGAAATTTCATATAAAGCGCTGCATATTTTGAGATTTGAGGGTCTTGGTGAATTAAGATAAGTATTGGCTCTGTATAGAACCAGACTACGGATACAATGATAGAGGCCAGGAAAGAAATGATGGAAGAGGCTTGTAGATAAATCCCCAGCATTCTATATAACTTTGCGCCGAATCCTTGCCCACACAACGTTTCCAGAGCTCCACTTAATCCAACCTAAACCAAGAAAGAATAATAGACAAAGAAAACAGTTCAAAGAGAAGGCCTGCAATACGAAAAATAAAAAGCAGAACGCTTGATTTAGAAAAATTGAAAGACAAAGCAAGTGAATTGAAAAAGCCATGGAAAACATATTTTAAGAAAGCAATACTCTAAGACCGTATACACTAATATGCACCAAGAAATCCGGTTACAAACTATTAAACAAAAATAGAAGTGGGTGACTTGTAAACAAAGAATAAGCCACATATAAATCACGATTTAGTGTTTCTTTATTGTTTGTTCGTGTCTCATATTGTATTCTTTATTAAAAGTTCGTAACCAGTTTTATTTGCATATTCCTGTTCTATTAGTTTTCCTAATAGCACATACATGGAGAGA